GGTTGAATGAATTGTGAAAACATTGAATAAAACAATTTGAAAAGCACGCTTTTGCGTAATGCGCAGCGAAAATCAACATAGTAAAGAAGAGAAAATCTCCTTTTTTTCGAAAAGGTTTTTAAAAACACCCAATGAATAAAGCACCTTTAAGGGCTTTCAAAAAACGAAAATAAGCACCTTTAAACACTTTTTAAAAATGCTAAGCACCATGGTTACATACAGCAATTAATAGTTTTTTCCACCCTGGAAGAAATTGGATTAGGGGGGAGACCTTTCTTTCTTTCAAAAAGAAATATCTAATATTGAATCATTTTGTAATAAAATATTACATAATTTTTAAATACGTGAAACTAAAATGCAGGAATTAGATTGTTGTTTGTTTACGTCACACTAAAGCTACACAATAGACTATTGGCGAGAGTCTGGAAAACTTCTCTGAGGATGATCTGAGGACATGCACCACGAAAACCTCCCGCGGTTAGTCAGACGGTGAGGGGACTCTAACCCATGATCAGTCTATCACTGAAGATATTTTACACCAGCACTGTGGTTGGTTTAAATAAGTCTGAATTATTATGTCTAATTATCAGTGTTTGAAAGCATGATTATGAGTTTCTCAGGTATATCCTTTTTTACTTTTGGATAGGGAAAATCAAAGTTGTTAATTTTCACATGGTCGTAGATGGATCATTTATATGATATCTGATGTCCCTGAATAAATAAAAAAATGTACATATAAATAAGATATAATTACGTTGAACTGTTATAGGCTCTTCAACCCATCCTAAAGTATTACATATGTAGGTACTGGGAAAAATTATAATTTTATCTCCAGCAGAACTGGATTTAAAGGCAGTTTCAGGATTATGTTCGAATTCCAGAATCCCATTAGAATCAACAGATAAATTCTGTGAAGAATAAAACATCCTTCATATACAATGACAATATTCACAATAGCAGCTGAAAATCTTATTATAACGAACTTGTTGTTAAACACATATGCAACAATGTTCTCACTCAATTAAACAAAAAAATTTTTCAAGGGCTTGCTCAGTAATATAGTTAGGAATATATATAATTTATAATTAGTCATGCAAGATGCATAGCCAAATCTTTCAACAAAAAAAAAGCACCTTTTAAGCACTTAAATATAAAATATAATGTTACCAAAAAAGTGGAAAATTATAGGTTGCTTTCTTGTACTAAAATATATATACGTGATGGATTTCAGAAATCAATTTGGCTCAACTTTTATTTTGAAATTTTATTAAATTTTTCATTCCCTCACTAACATATAAAATAAGGGAATGATGCTAAAATGAGGGAATGATGCTAATGTGAAGGAATGATTCTAAAGCATTCATTATTCATAAGATGAGTAATTGTTTAAAATGTAATTTTTTTTTCTTGCTTTTTCGTGATTTGTTCTTACTTTCATTAAAAATTACAGTATATATTAAGTCAAACTATTTTTAAAAATATTTTTGAATGTGAATTAACCTGATCAGTTTTTTTAAAAATTAAATTGTGAAAAAAAGAGAACATAATAGAATAAAAAAGTCAAGAAAGATAGGAATGAATACAAATCCAGAATACTCCTTAGTTTTTTTTAAAAAAAAAAGAAAGAAAGATCGGATTATGTACCAGAAAAAAAGTAAAAGGGGACCAGTGAAACCCGGCTCCCAGATGACTAGTTGTAACTTGAGGGTGAAAAAGAAATAATGGAAGAAAAACTCTTGCAACTACAAGTTGAAAAAACAAGCTTTAATAGAATCAGATAAAAATGTTAACGAACCATCATTGAATGATAATTTTCCATGGCCTTCAAGTAAACAAATCACATTAAGAATTTCCTTGCATAATGTTTTGAATTTTAGTAAACTTCGTTTGAAAGCACTAGACAAAAAAAATTGAGCAAAATTGAAAAGATACTTGATGTACTTGTTCACAAAAACTAGAGTTTGCTATAAAAAGTGATTTTATAGAATTAAAAACTAAGACCCAAACGAAGAAGTCGTCTAAATAAATTTCAGGGCAAGGAAAGTATATCATCATCGGTATGCAAGCGATTGGTTTTCGGTGTAGTACTATGTTTGTAAGTAGGAACTAATTTTAAAATTTTAGCAAAGACTCACATAGAAAAAGTTATTTAATGGAATTTTAAGTGGAAAATTTTTTAAAAAGTATAGAGCATTCTGTTCCTCAAAGTGATTTCTGAAATATAGAATACACGAAGAATCAGTCAAATGATAATTTTTAAAAACAATTATGTAACTTATGAAACTTCAAAAAACATAGTTTGTTTTAATCAGATGAATTGAGAATGTGCTCAGGTAAAAAGGAATGTGAAACAAGAAAGAAAGAGATAAAAGAGCTAAAAGTAAAAAAAAAATATTTATACACTAAAAAAAATATTTACATGGAAACCCAAACTGTTACATTAGTTATCCTACTTTTTGAAGAATACACACGTTAAATAACCAACAATTAAAGATGCGTTGATACATAGTACATGCTAATTGGAAAATGGTTATCTCAAAACTTTATGAGATTAATATTACTAATTATAAGTCATCTGTGTGCAATAACTTGTGATTTCAACTTTGAAGACTGTTTGTATAGGAAATACCCTAATTGAAAAGATAAAATGCTGATTTATAAACAGTATGATGATAAGGAACTATTTAAGTACAAAAAGTGTGTATTAGAGAAGAAAAAAAAAAGAAATATATTGTTAAAAACCAAGAAAAGATTTCCAATAAATCAATAAAGATAAAATAAGAAATTAGTCCTTCCAATTTAATTAAAGAGCTAGAGGGGGACTTACCAAAATATACGTACAGTGCATGTTGCAAATTAGTAGAAAACAGTAAATGAACTGAAAAAACAATTATCAACAGATTTAATACTAGTACATATTTGTTTTAGCGAAAACTAAAGTTGCAAATATAAGGAAGAGATTCAGTCTGAATATGCTCAGTAACCTGTACAGGAGTTTTTTTTATAACCGTTGTTGAACAGTCAACCCAATCTATGCTATGCTGATGTTCAACTCCGAAGCCTTGTAATTTTTTAACCAATCCAGAAGACAAGGAAACTCCCGGATCAGTACCCCCAAAAATTAAAGTTGCAAATATAAGGAAGAGATTCAGTCTCATTATGCTCAGTAACCTGTACAGGAGTTTTTTTTATAACCGTTGTTGAACAGTCAACCTATTCTATGCTATGCTGATGTTCAACTCCGAAGCCTTGTAATTTTTTAACCAATCCAGAAGACAAGAAAACTCCCGGATCAGTACCCCCAGAGGTATTGGTTTGTTATAAAAACCTGGAGGACTTTGCGACTCGACAGGTTTAATGTGCATCAGTCACCATTTACTACACAGGAAGTCTTTGGCAGGCGGGGATCAAACCCATGAATTTCTGGACACAGGGCCCAGTGCCCTACCAACCAGGCTATCCCGGGCAGTGTAAATGTTAATTAGAACCAGGGTTCGTGATTTTTTTGATTTTTTTAAAAAAAATCAAAAGAATCAGATTTTTTTGATTTAAATCGGATTTTTTTGATTTAAATCAGATTTTTTTGATTTTTATTCAAATACACTGTAAGAACTTTAATTTATGATTAAAAAAAATTATAAATGTTTAATCAAATTAACTTAATATTAAAACTATATTGTAACAATATTTTAGAAGCTCTAACTAAAATAATTTTTCATTATAATACATGGCTTTGAATGCATAGCAACCATTTTGAAACAAATGCATGATTAAAATTTAAAGACTAGATGAAATAGAGAATTTAAAGAATACTTCAGGGGTCTGTCTGGGTTTTTCTGAGAGGTACCTATTTTGTGAAAATTAAAAATTATATTAAAAAATCAACACAAATATAGTAAAAATATGGATTTATCGTTTCTTACGAGACACAAAAATAAAATTTTAAGAAAAAGTATTTTGTGTGATTATTCTATCATTTTTCCTAAAGTTGAATTTGTAAAGGTACCGTTAAACGGTAGTAAATTTGGCTTGGACAGACCCCTGCACTTTAACTATTAAAACAAAGTTTCAGTTAGCAAACCATAACTTTAATTTAAAATTGTGATTTCTTTTTTTTTCTCTTGATTTTTAAAATGACAAAATAAATGTAGCAGACTGTGTTTATAAATGTAGTCATTCATCAAAAAATAAATAAATATTTAATCTATATATTTTTATATTAAAATATTCATTTTTAATTCTATATCAAAATAGATAAGTTAAGCTAAAAAAAAAATTAGAAAATCTATGTATTCATTGGAATTTTTTTTCACAAAATTTCTTTATAGAAAATCAGATAATGTCAAAGATACTGTAAACATATTATGAGAAAAAAATACCAGTTAATAACCCTACTGCATCAAATAGACTTCGAAAGAGTTTGAAAGGGAAGAATGACACTACAATAGGAAAAAAAACATCTGAATTCATCAGCCCGTTTTTTTTTCTTTTTCTGTTTTTGGCATATTACGGTAATTTCTTTTTAATATAACCTCAAGCTTCAGAAATATACATTTTCCACCAATAAAATATGATGTAGATTTTAATTAACGCTTTTTCATTCAAAAGGTAGAATTTTAATTAACATTACTTGTATTATTTTTTGAAAAAAATTCATGTTTATTAATTACTTTCTACAGCTATGCAAGTCTATATTAAGACAGCATTAAATGTTTACTTTAATCTGTACTTTCAATCTCAAGAATCAAAAGATTTTTAAAAATGTAATTTCAAATGTGTTGGAATTTAACACACACCAAGAAAGTAATTTCGTTAACTAAAATTAATTAATGCAGCAATTTATTTAAATTAAATTTTAATACTAAGAAAAGAAAATAATAAAAGTATCAAAAATTTAAAACACTGTTTTTTAACTTTTAAAATCAATATATATAGATAAAAAAAATTAGTTGATTTAAATCAATGATTTTTTTAAAAAAATCATTTGATTTAAAACATGATTTAAATCGTGATTTAAATCAAGCTGATTTAAATCAACGAACCCTGATTAGAACAATGAAAAAACTAAAAGAATAGCCGATCAGAAAGTGACAGAAAGAAAGGTGTGCATAAAAAGTTTAAAATAGGAGATTGAGTCGTCGAGAGTGGTAACATTTTAGATACTGGCAAAGTGAAGACCATGCATTCAAGAAATTTAACAATTGATGTAACGGTTCCAATTGTAGGAAAATTTAAATGATAATTTCCTAAACATACATAGCTATTTAAAAACAAACATCAGAAAAGAATCCTATCATGCGTGAAAATCATTCCATCCAATTCTATTTTGATAACCTAGAAAACTATCATAGTTATAAAACAAAATTATAATATACATTAAATATGCTTAGTATACTTTAACTTGATGAAGAAACACATGTATTTAAATAAACCATCATTCTCCGAAGATTAACGTCATTCTCCTCAAAAATTATCAAATTTATTAATTTCTTTTAATATTAAGTAAAATTTAAAGGATTTTCTCATTATGCCATTACATATGCCTACTAATATAAAAAGTTTCAAATCTTTTCATTCATTTTACTTTTTTGGGAATTTTTGAATCAAAAATAACAGTTCTCAAAAGAATAACCCATATGCATTAAAAAAATGCAAAATATTTTTCGAAGACTTTATGTGATCATGACAAAATAGCTAGTTTCTGAGAAAGAACTCTTTTCTTGATTAAAATTAGCCATTATAAAATGATCAAGAGAATTTTCCGTTCAAATGCAAAATATTTTTCAAAGACTTTACGTGATCATGACAAAATAGCTAGTTTCTGAGAAAGAACTCTTTTCTTGATTAAAATTAGCCACTATAAAACGATCGAGAGATTTTTTGGTTCAAATGCAAAATATTTTTCAAAGACTTTACGTGATCATGACAAAATAGCTAGTTTCTGAGAAAGAATTCCTTTCTTGATTAAAATTAGCCATTATAAAATGATTGAGAGATTTTTCGGTTCGATGTCAGAGGGTAGAAAATGAAGCCCGAAATTGAGAATATGTTGCAAAATGCAGCAGAGTTGCACATGAGAGTGCAAGAATTTCACTGAACCCAACACAAGTATTTCATCAAACAAGTAAAATGATTGGCGCTTTCATACGCTATGGACCGACGATAAGCAGAAAAGCCTCGTGTTTGAATAAATTGCAAAAACATGGAATCGAACAATGTGAAAACCACACTTTTGCATAATACGAGGCGAAAATCGATATGGTAAAGAAAAAAATTTCATTTTCGAGAATTAAGCACTTTTCAAATTAAGCACTTTTCAAAAACACCTAATAAAAGAAGCACCTTTAAAGGCTCATAAAAACGAAAATAAGCACCTTTAAGACCACATAGAGTAGGCCATAAAGTTTCAAATGTTGGTAATAAATTTTTAAAACATTCAAATAAAACATGAGAAGATAATTTATTATTACGCGATGAAGTTCTCTTCCAATAATTTGTTTGCAGATTGATATTTAGAATTTTTTTTCCAGAGATGGAAACTTCATGATTTACTCTAGATTTGTCTGAATTCAGTTTTTCCTCACTTAAACTAGTTATGGAGATGAATGAGAATTTGTGCTGAAAAGTTTCCCTCGCAGTATGGCACTCTCTTAAGGGATATTTCTCAAAATGCCTTTGAAAAATATAAATTTTAGTCTCTGACTTACTTGAATCATATCAAGTGTAAATTGCTTAGCGACAATATAAGTAACTGGTTTTTGAACGCCACTGTTGTATCTTCATTTAATGAGTTTACCTGTGGTGTATTTCATTTTTACATACGGCCAGAAAAAAAATAAAGAAATAAAAACTTCTATCATTTACATTACAAGGATGAGTTTTTTAAAAAACTGAAAATAGAAATTAAAAAACGTCGCATGTAAATTTTTTTAAAAATAATGGAAAAAATTCCTGAAATTTGAGCAAGAATTGTATGTAAGAAGCATATATACGTAGCACATATTTTAATAAAAAAATAATAAAAATGTTGAATTATGAACAATGCTGAATAAATATAAATTTTTTAAAAAACTTTTGTGTGAATTCTGATCTTGATGTGAGATCTTTAAATTGCATGAATACGAATTCCAATGTGAGTATGTGATTATGTGTATTTATATAGAAAGGAAAAATCATCAAACAAGGAAAAAGAATTACCTAATTACTGGATTCTCCAACATTTCCATTTTAGTTCGCAGTTCATTGAGTCATTCTTTCAATTCAATTGTCCTCATAAAGTCCTCTTCATTGATTTCAGCTTCAGAATCACTGACATTTATTTCAGAATACATCAGGTTGATCTCTCTCTCTGCACTTTGGTTGCTTGCTTCAGAATCATTTTTATTTTGGATATCATGGGTTTGGGCAGAATGTTATTCTTCATGTCAAAGTAACTGTAAAAATAACCAAATTTTTAGTCTTTGTTATTACTCATGCTCAAATAACTGTTATAAAGGGGGACATACCCCTAATAACACCCCTTTTTTGACAAGGTATGTAGCTAAATCTTTCAACAAATAATAAACACCTTTAAAGTACGTTTTAAGCACTCAAAAAATATTTTTAAGCACTGTATACATTAACATGCAAAATAATTTTCAAAAACTTTACATGGTCATGATAAAATAAACCAATTTCTGACAAGGAACTCTTTTCTAGATTATATTAGCCATTATGAAATGATCGAGAGATTTTTTGGTGCGATATCAGAGGATGGAAAACAAAGCCTGAAATTAAGAATATCTTGCAAAATGCAGCAGAGTTGCACATATCTCAACAAAGTGCAAGAATCTCAACAAACCCAGTCCAGTTGGCACACATACGGACTCGCAAGCATTTCATCAAACATGTAAAATGATTGGCACTTTCATACGTTTTAGATTGACATTATGCTGAATGAATCGTGAAAAAATAGAATAGAACAATGTTAAAAGTACGCTATTGCATGACATGTGGCAAAAATCGACACGGTAAAGAAAAAAAGGGAAAATCAAGCACTTTTTAAGAACACCCAGTAAAAAAACCACCTTTAAAGGCTTTTAAATAACGAAAATCAAAAATAAACACATTTAAGCACTTTTTAAAAATGCTATCCACCATGCAACTGTTATTATGTGTAAAAGGGAGGCCATTTCTTTGATATCTTCAACTCAAAAACTGAAGACAGGGAAAAAAATGATAATTCCCTGTCATTAGGTAATTTTTTTAATTCTTTGTATTTTCCAGTTTTTCCCTATGGAGTGGCAACCCTGAATGAGCATCCATTAACTCAAATGAGTGGTTATGTATGTGTATTATAAACAGTAAATGGTTATTCTACTTGCTTTACATCAATCTATGTCAACTATATATCAAATTGAACCAAGTAATTTTTTGAATAATTGACAAAATCTTAAAAACTCTCATCATTTTGAACAACAGTGTGCTCTTCAATAAAGAAAAGGAAAAAAAGAACATCAAAATATCTATTTTTAGTTAACATTTGATCATAAGACTTTTACAGACTTCCAAAACTTGCTGATGAGCTTTTTATTTTAGGAGTATTTCAATATGTCAGAGTAAGAAAATTGACATATCTTGAAATGAGTGTTTTAAAATATGGACATAGCTCAAAATGGGTTTAGTTAAGAAAATGAGAATAGCGCTCAAAATGAATGAACCATTTAAAGAAACAGTCACATCTCAAAATGAGTGTTTAAGAATATGGAAACAGCTTAAAACCTATATTTAAGAAAAAATGGACATAGCACTTTTCAAGCTGTAAACGGTGACTGGTGCATGTTAAATCTGTTGAGTCTCAAAGTTCTCCATGTTCCCATAATAAATCATACCTCTGGGGGTACTGATCCAGGAGTTTTTTTGTCTTCTGGATTGGTGCAAAATTACAAGGCTACGGAGTTTCCCAAAATTGGGTCGGCTGTTCAACGACTGTTATAAATATAATAATAATTAAAAAACAATATAAAGAATGCGTGAATTTACCACAGAAATACTTTTCTTAATGCAAAAGAAATACTTGTTTTAACTTTTTATTGAAAATAAGTATACAGGTCAACCAATTTACTTCGTAAAAGGAAAATGCAATGTTTAGAGGAAACAATTTATAGATTAGGAGGGACCAGCAACTTGCTGTACCTCCCTGCTGAGGGGAGAAAGTTACAGCAAGTTATTATCATATTTGCCACCAACATGACTAAATATGTGGACGGCCCTTCGTTAATCTACCTGCTGTACAAGGGACTTTTCACTCAAAAAGGTTGTACACCCCTATAATAAAGTAGCACTTATTTAGGATAAATTACTACTATTGATAACATCTCCTGAAATAAAATAAAAAAATGACTATTTGGCAAATAGGGGTGCCTATGGGCTGAGAAGATTTATTTAATCTAGCAAAACTAAGTTCTTAATTTATGAAACTCTTGTCAGGTTGGACTTTATGATTCTGAAGCTTGGTCAGTGACAAAACTGGAAGAAAATTGTATCACAATATTCGAGAGAAAGATTTCACTGAGTATATTTGATGACGTGAATGAGAACAATAACTGGAGAAGAAGATTTAACTTTGAACTGTACAAGATTTATAAAAACCCGATGTTATTAAATACATAAAAATAGATAGAATGAATTGGGATGATTCATATAATTCGAATGAGTGATGACATTACAATAAAAAAAGATATTGCTTTTTAGACCCTCTGCGACAAGAAAATGGGGAGTGCCACGGCAGAGATGGGCTGATTCGGTGGTGTCTGATATTCTTGCAATTTATGAAAAGAATTGTAGATCAAAGATAAATCGAAAGTTTTTATGGAGAAATCTTCCGAGGAAGGCATTGACCCACATTGGGCTGTCTGGTCAACTATGACAATGATGATAAAAAACTGGAGAAATATGAGACATCAGAGAAAAAGCAATGTTTTATTCACGAGAGAAGCAACTAATCACTCAACTTTCCACATACCAGTTGATTAATCAATACAAGAACCTCAATTTTGTGTATTTGATTGATGATGGCAGATCTTCAGTTTAAAAGCTGCTGGAACTGTCATGACTACCTACAGTTGGATACAGTAATTTAACTTTCACTTAAACTTTAATTTCAACTTTAACTTTCAGCAAAGTTAACATTTTTTTATATTTAAAGCTTTATTTGACTAGTTCTTAGTGTTCCACTTTTCTGATACACATGATCAGGGGTAACTGAAAGCCCAATTCAAAAGTCCAGAAAATTTCTTGAGGAAAATCATTAACGACCCATTTAAAAAAATATTGTCTTTATAATTTTAAATCATTGATATTTACACAACATGAAACTCTAAATAAATTATATGCGGCATATTTTAAATCAATAATTATGTATAAGTTTATTTTTATCTCTCATCACATGCGCCTTTTTGTCCACTTTGTAAATCTTTTTGTCCACCCTTCATGGACACATTGAGTCCTCAAGATATTGGGAAGCAAGAGAACTTTTAAAGCAATGACTTTGGTCTTCGTTCTTTGTTATCCTACGTACATTTGTATTAGTTATTTATTTCATCTCTCTATTTGTACCTTTTGCCTTGCCATTGGAAATAAAAATAAATAAAAAAACAAGGTATAAAAAAATCTCTTTATCACATTTATTATTCTATCAGAAAAAATATTTACAAATGAAAGAGATGCCAAGTATAAATTCTAGTTCTAATGATTTTAAATAAAATATAAAATTTTTATCTCTGCATGATAGAAATTCAGATCTGCTAAAATTATTTCTTTAGAATTGCATAAATTATTACTTTTTTAAAAAAAACAAAGGATGAAAATCTGATTTTATTAGCAAATTTTAATAATTTGATTTAAATTATTTAATGCTCTATTTTTTTTCCAACTAAAACAGTTGCTTCATTTATTTATACAATTTCAATTGATCTATATTTTCCATTAATTAGAACAATTAGCAAGTGAACTCTAAATGTTGCCAACAGATCTGAATATTTTTTTATTTTATAACCGTCGTTGAACAGCGGATTCAATTCTGGGTTTACGACTACCAATCCTCAACTCCGTATCCTCATAATTTTGATCCGAAACCAGAAGACAAGGTAGTTCCTGGATCGGTACCCCCAGAGGTATTGATCTGTTATGGGAACATAGAAAACTTTGTGATCTGACAGATTTAAAGTGCGTCAGTAACCATTTACTACACCAGGAGTCTTGGGTCTGCGGGGATCGAACCCACGATCTCTCCGACATGTGCCCATTGCCCTACCAACCACGCTATCAAAGCCTGGTTAGTAGGGCAACCAGGTCGGGAGTATTGTGCAAAGTCATTTGAACTGATAAAATATTTGTTTTTACAAAAGCAATGTCAGATCATTAACAAAAATAAACTATAAAAATATGCTTTAAAAAAGACATACAGCTGCAATCGAGGTTTTAAAATGTCTTCCGTATATTGGATATCTTCCTCGCCACCCCAAGGTCGTTGCAAATGCAATAAAAAGAATCTGCAAAATTAAAATGCATTTTAATTAAAAACATAAAACCTTATTCAATTTATTTGATGAAAATTATTATTAGATTTTGTATGGAATAAACTTATTGTTACAATAAACTGATACCAATAAAAAGGTTAATTTTTACAGGGATGTTAAAAAAAAAATAATAAATAAATAAAATATAAAAAAAACAGATTTTTTACAGAAAAGACTCAGCTTACTAAGTTTTTTCAGGGTTAAATTGGTATTTTTTAAAGTGAATTGCTTGTTTTTTTTTATTATTTATTTCCTTAGAGTAAGTTTTGTCACATTAATAAATACCATTAATTAATTAATAATTAAGTTATGAGAATTATCAACTGTTAAACTTGGTAAGAAAAATGGTTCGTCAATCTACAGCCTCTGTAATGCAACTTCGAATTTAAAATGTTGCATGCTAAAAGAAGTATTTTTATCTGTGAACTTAGCACAATTTTTGTTTTTAAATTCCAGTTTTTGAAAGTTATTATTTATTTAAGTGCTTCTTCATGAACTTTTCCAGTCTCTTAGCTTCAAATATTGACTATTTATCCATTGTAATAGAAAATTAATTTTTATATTGTGGTATCTTAATCTTAACCTGTGGTATCTTAATTTAATTGTATCTTAAGTTCATACTTAAGTAATTGTCAACCAAAAGTAGGGAGGGAAAAAAAGGACAGAGAGAAAATACATCTTGCCAGACATAAATCATAAAATTTATACTGAAACTGATAACAATAAAAAAACTTAATAAAGAACAATAGAACTCGCTTTCAATATGATGTGACTCGCCAATAAATAAAATTACATATCTTGTGTTTTTTCTTAATGAGTCATGTTTCATAATGTGTTTCCCTTAGGCTGAATGTATTCTTCACTACGCAGGGTGCGTAGCCAGATTTTTCAACAAAAAACTTTTAAGCACTTCTTGCACTCAAAAAAATAACTTCAAGCACTTTCAAAAAATTAAATCATAATTAGGATCTGTGCAATAATAATAAAAAAATTTTATCGTTTAAAGTTCTTGATTTATAAACATAAAATAAATAAAATTCAAAAACATTCTCAAAACCTTTACATAATAATGATAAATTAACTAGTTTCTGATAAATATTGCACCGAAAATTATGAAAATCATGCATTTTTTGTTATTTAGAATGATAATTGATACGACAAAGAAAAAATCTTTTTTCAAAAGATATAAAATTAAGCACTTTTTAAAAATCCCGAATATGTAAAGCACCTTTAAAAATGTAAGCCAAAAATAAGCACTTTTTAAAAAAGTTACCTATCCTGCTACAGATGATTTTTTTCCAAATCATTGGTAATCGTCTATTTCATAATGATCAACATGATAACAAAATGTTCTTAGATAAATCTACAATAGTTATACATTTTAAAAACAAGATATTCTGCATGTTTGTGGAAAATACTGAAATTTAAGGTTTAAAAAAAAAATCATGGTGTATAGCCAGATTTTTCGACAAAAAATAAGCACCTTTACGCACTCAAAAAAGATTTTTACTTACTTTTCAAAAAAAAAATTTATTATCAGGATCAGTAATAAAAAATTTTTTTATGGCTTAAAGTTATAAACATAAAATTAATAAAATTCAAAAAAAAATTTCAAAAACTTTACATAATCATGGTAAAATAACTAGTTTCTGATAAATATTGCAGAGAAAATTGTGAAAATCATGCATTTTTTGTAATTTAAAATGACACTCAATATGGCAAGAATAAATCTCTTTTAAAAAGATAGAAAATTAAGCACTTTTTACAAAACCCGAATAAAAAAAACGCTTCTAAAGGCTTTTAAAAGACATAAATAAAAAATAAGCACCATCTATCTTATTTAAATATAAAAGAATTAAAAAATGAGAAAATAACATTATTAAAAAGTTTTATAACTATGACTACAAACTTTATATAAAATATAGTAAACTTGCTCTTCAATTGACAGGGTGCGTAGCCAAATCTTTGAATCAAAAATAAGCACTTTTTAAAAACTTTTCAAGCACTTTACAAAGAATCTCAAGCACTCAAAAAATTCACATTCAATCAATGATATTATTGAAACAGCTTTAGCGTTAAAAAAAACCAAAAAGGAACAGGCGTAAATCGAAACAATCAGTACTTTCCCACATCACCGAGTGAATTCAACTTGACCCTGAACTCAGAACAAAAGTACCCTTACCCCCTACGTCAAAAAAAGTGTTAGAAGTAAAATAAAATAAACAAGAACAAAATTAAAATAAATTAAAAAGAAAAACATTTCATAAGGATCTGATATTCTCTATCCGAATTGGAGCACTCGGGTTTCGGTCTCAAGTGTGCGCACACGCGCAAGTCATAACGTGGGTACGACATGAAGTCAGTGTGAATGATTATGTAGCAAACTCCCCATTTTTCGTGAAATGCATGGGATCCACCAGATATCACTGAAGGGGGAAAAAAATTATTCGGAAAAAAATCACTTTTTAAAAACGCCAGCTGAAAAAAGCACCTTTAAAAGCTTTTAATAACGAAATCCCCAAAAAAGCACCTTTAAGTACTTTTTACAAACGCTACGCACCCTGATTGAAGCTTAAAAAAATCAAACAAAATGTAGAGAAATGAGAAGAAAAAAAAAAGAACTTCCCCAAAAGAAAATAGTAAAATAGAAAAAAAAGAAGATAAAGTGATTCATGATATTAAGCAGAGGATAAATATTAAACAGTTTATTGATATGTGCAGTTATTAAGTTCCATTTATGGTGAACTAACTATACCAACTTCCAAAGAATTTCTAAAAATCAAAATAGTTATAATGGCAATCAAAGTTTTTGATTACTACTTATTAAACACTTATATAAGTACAGGTACTTAGAGCAGATCAACAAGATAATCCCAAAGTATCAAAAAAAGTTAATATACAGTCTAGCCATCACAATTCCTGCATACTCGTGCTTTGGCTGGTTAAGAAGAGATATGATTTGCACTTTTGCGGATTGACGGAGTAACATTATCTCTTTGATTCTCGCTCAGTCAAAATAGTTTTACTCCTGTTTCCACAGCAGCAGACGATTTCAGTTGCATAGAATTCTTGTGATGGCAAGACAGTTTTTTTTTTGTAGATATAGTTACCAAACATGCTCAATAGCAAATGCTGTTTTAAGATACACTTCATCATCGTCCTCTTCACTGATTACAAACAACTCAACTAATGGTAGAGCAACACTAGAACATTTTTTAACTTCTTGCTGAATCCACTGTATCTGGTTGAGGTCAGCTCCGATTACTGATTTCACCAGCCTCTAACTTTTCCCACACTCACAACCTAAACATAAATTAACAATAGTTTAACTATTTATTTTAACCAACATAATAAATATGAAATGTACCAAATAAACTTCAAAAAATCTTTAATTTCATCAAAACTATTAATACCGGTTGGAAAAAATACAATTTTTTCTAAGTTAAATACAACTGTACAACTTTTTTATTTTTAAAAAAAGAAAATACAGTGATTAAAATAACCCACTTTGTAATTTTCTATGCAATTTTAATATTTGTAGTCATAAATTGATTTTCGAATAATAGAAAAAGGTTGTTATTAAAATTTTGATAATGATCAATCCTCTGAATTTTTATCACAGAATACAAATGTCGAGTAAAAAAGAGTTTCTCAAATAAATTGTTACCGTACAAATAGTCTACTCAAATCTGAAATTTGCATATTGTGAGGACATTGTACTAATTAAAAATTAAATGGAAATGTCTATCAGATTGATAAAAAAACAATATGGATCTACAACAGAATTAATTGAACAATTGAAAAATTATTCAAATTTAAAACTCACTTTCACAATTTCAAAATCATTGATAGTAAATGTGATATCATTTATAAATGGACCACACTATTAATTACTAATAATAAATAAAATTACACAAATCTCCTAATAAAATTAAGATATTTGCAAAAAAATCAAAATCATACAGGGTTCACAATAAAAAGGAATAAAAGTAAACTTTTCAAGACATTTTATAAGATTTTTAGATTACAACAGCAAGAACTGAATAGAAATGTGTCAAAAATATGAATATTTCTATAGCCTGACTATCTTTAAGATAAAAAATGCAGGTATTTTTTAAATAAAAAATAAACACTTTTTAACTCTTGATAGCACTATTTTACCCAAATGCAATGTTAACTCTGGTCATTTTAAGCATAGCTGTTTAGGGTTAAAAACCTTGAAAACAATATTATAAACTTATACTTTATAATAGAAATGAGCTCTTATACTTTCAGTTCCCAGTACTACCGGTTTCCACAGAAGCGCTCATAGTTTTAATGCCTATTGCAGAAAAAGAGGCATGCTTTACAATCTAAAAACTGTTTACTTTTACCAAAAAAAAACTAAAAAAAACATCATAATAATAAAAAAAAATTGCAAGTTGCAGATCAGAGTTGTCTTCATCTGAAATAATTTATAAATTCAAAAGATGAAGGAAAATAATAGCTTAAATTTACTCTCAGACATATTCACAAAAAAAAAAAAAAAATTCTCACACACAGAAACAAAAACAGAAGTCAAATAATAGCAAAAAAGTGTGAACTACTTGAAAGAAACACAATCAATATAACTGCAGAACCATGATCTACTTTCTATTCTTGTCTGAAAACACTCTCAGACAGGGTTGGGGTTTCGGACAGGGGATTTGAGTTTTTTGTCTTAAAGTGTCCAAAACCTTGAACATTTATAAAAATTCAATATGTGTCACCATTGTGCACATAATAATTACATATATCAATAAATATTCTATACTTTTTATACAATTTGCTTTAACTTATTGAAGAAAAAATGCATTTTTTGTTGCTTTAACTTATTGGAAGAAAAATAATATAATATGAAAAGATTTATAACTTTTGAAGCTCCACAATTCACTGAATACCTTATCTCTTAAACATGCTTTTAATACTGATAAATTATGCCTTTGCATAAGGATAATAAATACAATATAAAATATAATAATAAACTTTTTTAATAAAAACAAAAAGTCTTCATTTTGTTTCAGGTTCAAAAAGTAAAACTTCATTTTTCACAATTTTTTTTTAAAATTGTGACATAATTTGAGGGAATTGGAAAAGGACATTTTAAACCATGGACATGTTACATTCTGTCCTAAATCTTTTCAACTCTGCTCTCAAGGTCATTCTATTGCACTCCAAAGCAGTGTCAGTAGTTTTACTGATAGTGACACTTTGCATACTACAGAAAGGCTTATATGTACACCCGAGGCAGTTAGCAAAGCTTTTATATATGCCTGCAGCAGGCAAAGGGTCAAAATATTCAATACAATGAAATGTGCTACCCGGAAAATTTATGTCTACTATAAAAATTCGTATTTTAAAACAAAAAAGACAATACAAATATTACTTCCATTATGAAATCTAGCTCTGAATCAACAAAACAATGAAATGCTACCAGGAAAATTTATATTTACAATAAAAACTCTTATTTTACAGTAAAAAAGCCAATACAAGTAATACTTCCACTATGAAATTTAGCTCTGAATAATCAAAATGCTACCAGGAAGATTTATATCGACAATAAAAAATTCATATTTTACAATAAAAAAGTCAATACAAGTATTACTTCCACTATGAAATCTAACTCTGAATCAACAATAGAAGATTTTCCAGTTGACCTCCAGACAGTTTTCCATCCGATTGGCTCCACTATGTGAGTGAGGTATTAAACAAGAGCATATTCTGCTGCTGATGAACAGCAATCCAGTAATATTTTGTCCTCGAAAACTGAAAGAACTTCATTTAAACTAGAGGACTCTAAGTTAATTCCATATATATTAGGACAGCACAGTAGAGAAAATAACGATTTTGATGATTCTTTATCCATAGTAGATTGACAGACCTAAAATGTTAAAATAAAATTCTTAATTTCTTTTTATATATTTCACTTCTTTATAAACATTCCACTTTCCTACATTTATATACATTTGTAAAGAAATAGCTATGTATTTAAGATAGGGGTGCACAACCTGCGGCCCGCAGGCCATATGCGGCCCTCCGACCACTGAGGTGCTGCCCGCAAGAGTTTCTGAACTCAATAAAAAATAAACAAAAATTTCAAATATAAAAAATTTCTTAAATTTTTTTTTTTGCACTTTTGAGTCATCACGTTGTGAAGCTCTAAATTTTTATTGATTCTATAGTAAATGTATGTTCACCACGCTTTCTTTAAGTCGATTTTATCATATATCAAAATGATTTTTTAAGCACTTATTTCCGCTTTTCAACATAATTTCGAAAATCCTAAATTTTTCTAACGATATTATTACAACACGCGAGTTTCAGATCGCCCATTTAAATAATCACTTTTTGGCGCACTTTTGGCAGATCTTTCTTTTTTTCAACCATTTTCCTTGGGCAATAATTGCTATGCATTCCCACATAGATTTGAAATTTTCGATAATTTTATTAGGTAATAGATAATCGCTCATTTGACACGCTTTATTCGTGCTGAGTTCCATTAATTTAAGTGATTTTATTTTTATATGTTATACCTTTCCACGTTATTATTATTAACTGCAATGTTATTACGAGAGGCGAATTTCTATTCGCGCATGCAAATAAACACTTTTTGATGCGGTATTTCGGTTATGAATGGTATTTGGTACAATATTTCAGACTAGCGACGAATGTCATTTGTTCGAATGTGGTAACGAATTGTGATTTGGTCTAGTACTAAATGTTCGGCAAAAAAAAAAATCTGCCGAATACCGTATATTTGGGGCCAAATAAAATTCTTCAGCAGAGCATAGCAACACTGAAACCAAAAGTTCAATGCTAAGAATAATATTTTCTGGAAAAAACGTGTTCATAAAACAACGCTAAAAAATAAGGCCTATTAGAAGCGCTTTGGAAAATGCATCTCTATAAGAACTAAAGATTATATACAAAAGTGAAACAGAGAAAATAAAAATTTATCTTAATTTTCGAATAGAAATTTTAAAGCTGAACATCTCAGTTTTTCAAATACCAGAACAGGTCAAGAATGTGTCTAACAGAAATGTTCTAAAAATTGCTGCGTTATAATAAAAATGCTTGTAAAAAGAGAAGTTTTTTTTTAAGAGAAAAAAAAACTAAACAAAAACAAAAAACGTTCTTAATTTTTTTTAATTAAAAATCTAAATTCAGCATATTGAATTTAAATTTTTCACATTGCCATATTTATAGAAGAAAGGAATTGCTACAAAATGAAGTTTATTAGTAACGTTCATTGGGGAAAATGCCTATATAGAGAAGAGTTAATTAAAAATAAAAGCAGAAAAAAAATTGTTCTGAGTTCCTAAAACAAAACTAAAACACTGAAAATCTCAGTTTTCTATGTTCTCGGTTATCTATATTATGGTACAGAGAAAAAAGTGACAATTAATCAATAGTATGGGACGTTCCGTTAAAACGATGAGTTGTAATAAAAACAACAAAAAAATTCCTTCTCAAATCTTAGAACTAAAAGTATCGAAAAAATTAAGAAATTGACTTGTTTGAATATGATTCTTTTTTTTTAAAAAAAAAAGCAGAAGTGCAAAATAGTCAAAACAGAAATGCAAAGAAGTCGGTGTACGTTTACTATATAAAAAAAACCTAATAATCATTAAAAAGAAATAATAAAGTACATTTTGAATTTATATTACTAAATATATATATAACATTATTTTCTACTTTCCTTCAGTGAGCATTGCAGTCTTTTTAATAATAATTTATTTTTAAATGGATAATTTTTGCATAGTGTGATATGATTTTAAAAAAAAAAAACATTTCTTTTCTTCTTCAAACGTTTATTTAATTATTTTAATAAATCTATTTTTGATGATATAAAAATTGAAATTATTTTTAAAAAAGTATTAGTTTTTTCATTTTTGACCCAGATCTAATAATTGAACACTTTAATTTTCTACAAATATATTACTAAGATTATTGATAAAAAAAATTAGAACACATATTACAGCATTTGTCGTCTACATGTCTAAATATATATGCGGCCTTTCCTTAGTCAACCTGCTGTGCAGGTGGCCCTTCAATCAAAAAGGTTGTGCACCCCTAATTTAAGAGTTGTATCTTTCTTAAGACCACGTTTAAATAGGGTATATTTCCATGTCGTGATCTGTCTCTAAATGGTTTTAAAAACAATTTTTATCTCTCTTTTTTTTAAAGAAAGTGAAAGGTTTGCCAGTTACTTAAAATTTACAAGTTGGTTCCTCCTATGTTTTTCTTTTGTAAGTTTCTTGTGGGTCACCAAGACTCTGCAATTATTCCATGACAGATTACGATACAAAAATCTTCCACCAAAAATAAAATAAATTATGAATGGTATACTATAATGCATAATTGGTAGTACCTAAAAATTAAATTCGTTGAAGTGAGTACATTTAAATCTATCGCGCGACAACAATACAAATAAAATAAAATAAATAAAGAAATTTAAGTAGAAGTATGTACTTTCAGTATGACAAGATATAGGTATTATTCTTAAGGACCATTCTTACTGCAATCAAATTGAATGAGCAATCGCATATCGACGCAATTTGCACATGCGCAAANCAAGATATAGGTATTATTCTTAAGGACCATTCTTACTGCAATCAAATTGAATGAGCAATCACATATAGACGCAATTTGCACATGCGCAAATAACTCTTTCCACTGCTGGTAATTGAGCGGGACCCTACCAGAGGAAATAATGATAGGATTTGTAGGGGGGACACAATATGACAATCAAATTTAATATGTATATAATAGTGTGTTTATTAGCTTTAAAATGAGGAAATTCGAAGTCAATATTCTGCTTCAAGACATAGCCCTTTATCTTACCTTATTATTGACCCATAATATTTATATCGGATCACGTATAATACATGTACATTACCGGGTACTAGTGGACCCTGCTAGAGGGAAATAATTATAAGCTTATTATGGGGTTGAAGTAAGCGAAGATAGATCCTAGGGTATTCAATGTGGCAATATAGTTCACTACATTTTATTAGCTTTAAAATGAGGAAATTCTAAATCAATGACCCAGAATATTTATATTGAACCACGTATTATATTACCGGATACTAGAGTACCCTACCAGAGGAAATAATTATAGACCTCATAGGAGGAACACAATGTGGCCCTGTAGTTTACTATGTATTTATATCTAAAATAGTCTTCTGAAAAGCTTTAAAAAGAGGAAATTCATCTTCTAATGAGCTTGAAAAATTCGAGGTCATTTTTCAATATTAACTAACACAAGGCCCGATATCACACATTAATATTTACCCATAATATTTTAAGGGAAGTAGGTTTGCTTGAAAGTTGATCCTTTTTCCCGAAATTTTATTTTATTTTATTTTTTATTCCATTATGCTTTCTTTCTCAAAGAGACAACATAGATTTTATGCTTAGAACAACATATTTCGTCTGTTAAACTATCGTGAAAATATTGTAAAAGGAGATTAAAAAAATAATATAATATAAATAAACTAATTTTCCGGGATTTTTCAAGTTTTTATAAGCATTATTTGAAATTTTCCGAATAAAAAAATTCTCTTTTATATATGGGATTCTATAATATATAGAAAAACACGTTAAATTAATAATATAATGTAAAATAAACAAAAGAAGAAAAAAAAATAAATAAAAATTGACATCAGCTGGTGCTCGAACCTAAGCCCGCTCGCTCAATGCGTAAGTCACTAGCACATGGTCTTAGCCGTTGGACTACGCTTATACGAGGATTGCAAGTGTCTTGTTTGGTGATGCTTAATAATGCTTAAAAACTCGAAAAATCCCGAAAAATTTGTTTATTTTTATTATATTATTTTTTTTAATTTCTTTTACAATATTTTCACGATAGTTTAGTATGCGAAATGTGTTCTGTGTTTGAAATCAAGTGTCTTTTTTGGTGAAAGAACGCATAATGGAATAAAAAATAAAATAAAATAAAATGACGGGAGAAAGGTTGAAATTTGTAGTCCGTCTAACTCCCTTTAATATTAAGTTATAATTTTCAAACACGGACGGAAAGTTGGCCTCTATGAGCCGAACCACCCAACAAAGGTTAATATTTATAGACCTATTAGGGGGGCTGCAAACGCCCCTTAAGTCTTTTATTTAGCTCCACAGGAGAGGGTACTTGAAGCTATGTAGTTGCCCGATCTCCGTATAGTTCCGACTGCGGTTCAACGGCTAAGACTGCGAGCTAGTGCCTTACGCCTTAATCGATGGGGTACGGGTACGACCTCTATCTGAGGATAATTTTTAAAAATTTTTATATTTTTCTCATTTGTTTTTTTTTACATTATATTATATATTTATTGTGTTTTTCGATACATTAAAGAATCCTATACAAAAAAAATAATTGTTTTTATTCGGGAAATTTCAAATAATGCTTAGAAACTCGAAAATTCCTGCAGAATTAGTTTATTTTTATTATATTATTTTTTAAAACTCCTTTTACAATATTTTCACGATAGTTAAGCATTTGAAATGTGTTCCATGCTTAAAATCAAGTGTCTTTCTAGGTGAAAAAAAGCATAATGGAATAAAAAATGAAATAAAATGGCGGGAAAGAGGTTCAAATTTCAAGTCCATCTAACTTCTTTTATTATTAACCTATAAATTTCATACTCAGACGGAAATTTGGCCTGTATGAGCCAAACCACCTTACAAAGGAAAATTTTAATAGTCCTATTAGGGGGGCAGCAAATGCCCCTTAAGTCTTTTGTTTAGCTGATCGGGAGAGGGTACTTGATGCTATGTAGTAGCCTGATCCCCGTATAAGCGTGGTTCAACGGCTAAGACCGCGTGTTAGTAACTTTCGCTTTAATGTGTTTTTCGATACATTAAAGGATACTACATGCAAAAAATAATTTTTTTTATTCGAGAAATTTCAAATACAGCTTGAAAACTGGAAAAATCCCGGAAAATTAGTTTATTTATATTATAATTTTTTTTTTACTCCTTTTACTATATTTTCACGAAAGCTTAGCATCTGAAATATGTTCTATGTTTAAAATCAAGCGTCTTTCTTGGTGAAAGAACGGCTACAGGAATAAATAATAAAACAAAATAAAATGGCAGGAAAAAGGCTCAAATTTCAAGTCCGTCTAACTCACTTTAATAGTAAGCTATAATTTTCAAACTCGGGTGGAAAGTTGCCGTCTATGAGTCAAACCACCCTACAAAGAAAAATTTTTTATAGACTATATAGGGGGACAGCAAATGCCCCTGAAGTCTTTTGTTTAGCTGACCGGGAGAGGGTACTTAAAGCTATGTAGTAGCCTGATTCCCGTATAAACGTGGTTCAAAGGTTAAGACCGCGTGCTAGTGACTTACGCCTTAAGCGATGGGGTGTGGGTTCAAATCCTGGTTGATGTAAATTTCTTAAATTTTTATATATTTTTTTTTGCATTATATTATTTATTTAATGTGTTTTTCGATACATTAAAGATCCTACATGCAAAAAATAATTTTTTTTATTCGTGAAATTTCAAATACAGCTGAAAATCTGGAAAATACCCGGGAAATTTGTTTAATTGTATTATAATTTTTTTTTACTCCTTTTACAATATTTTCACGAAAGTTCAGCATCGGAAAAATGTTCTATGTTTAAAATCAAGCGTCTTTCTTGGAGAAAGAACACCTAAAGGAATAAATAATAAAACAAAATAAAATGGCGGGAAAAAGGCTCAAATTTCAAGTCCGTCTAACTCCCTTTAATAGTAAGCTATAATTTTCAAACTCGGGAGGAAAGTTGGCCTCTATGAGCCAAATCACCCTACTAAGAAAATTTTTTTATAGACCATATGGGGGGGCAGCAAATGCCCCTTAAGTCTTTTGTTTTGCTGACAGGTAGAGGACACTTGAAGCTATGTAGTAGCCTGATCCCCGTACAAACGTGGTTCAACGACTAAGACCGCGTGCTAGTGACTTACGCCTTAAGCGATGGGGTGTGGGTTCGAATCCTGGTTAATGTAAATTTTTAAAATTTTTTATATTTTTTTTTGCATTATATTATTTATTTAATGTGTTTTTCGATACATTAAAGGATTCTACATGCAAAAAATAATTTTTTTTAATCGAGAAATTTCAAATACAGCTCAAAAACTGGAAAAATCCCGGAAAATTAGTTTATTTATATTATAATTTTTTCTTACTCCTTTTACAATATTTTTACGAAAGTTTAGCATCTGAAAAATGTTCTATGTTTAAAATCAAGCGTCTTTCTTGGTGAAAGAACGCCTAAAAGAATAAATGATAAAACAAAATAAAATGGCGGGAAAAAGCCTCAAATTTCAAGTCCGTTTAACTCCCTTTAATAGTAAGCTATAATTTTCAAACTCGGGCGGAAAGTTGGCCTCAATGAGACAAACCACCCTACTAAGAAAATTTTCTTATAGACCATATAGGGGGACAGCAAATGCCCCTTAAGTCTTTTGTTTAGCTGACCGGGAGAGAGAACTTAAAGCTATGTAGTAGCCTGATACCCGTAAAAATTTGGTTCAGCGGTTAAGACCGCGTGCTAGTGATTTACGCCTTAAGCGACGGGGAGTGGGTTCGAATCCCGGCTGATGTAAATTTTCAAATTTTTTTTTGTTTTTTTTTTTTCGCATTATATTATTTATTTAATGTGTTTTTCGATACATTAAAGGATCCTACATGCAAAAAATAATTTTTTTTATTCGAGAAATTTCAAATACAGCTGAAAATCTGGAAAATTCCCGGAAAATTTGTTTATTTGTATTATAATTTTTTTTTACTCCTTTTACAATACTTTCACGAAAGTTCAGCATCGGAAAAATGTTCTATGTTTAAAATCAAGCGTCTTTCTTGGTGAAAGAACGCCTAAAGGAATAAATAATAAAACAAAATAAAATGGCGGGAAAAAGGCTCAAATTTCAAGTCCGTCTAACTCCCTTTAATAGTAAGCTATAATTTTCAAACTCGGGTGGAAAGTTGGCCTCTATGAGCCAAACCACCCTACTAAGAAATTTTTTTATAGACCATATAGGGGGGCAGCAAATGCCCCTTAACTCTTTTGTTTACCTGACCGGGAGAGGGTACTTAAAGATATGTAGTTGCCTGATCCCCGTATAAACGTGGTTCAACGGCTAAGACCGCGTGCTAACGACTTACGCCTTAAGCGAAGGGGAGTGGGTTCGAATCCCGGCTAAAGCAAAATTTTCAAATTTTTTTTTTTGTTTTTTTTTTGCATTA